GCCCCTTTTTTCCTGGGTTGTTGTTATTTGTTGTTGTTGTTTCAAGAGCAAGATTTTGAATGAAATAATAATTAACATTTATGTATGGTTTTAAAGTTTGCAAAAATACTTTACATACATTTTCTTATTTTGATCTAAACCCACTCCATCTCATTTCCCATAGATATATATATTAAAAGTAAATGTTCAGAGAATAAATGTCAGAAACTGACAAGGAGAAACACACAGCATACACATATGGGTACCCATACAGAGCTATATACAGGAAGAATAGTTGAGCCTGTGTGAAACAAAGAAAATATGAGAAATTACTGGATATGGGCTGTCTTTATAGAATCAACATACTCACAAAGGAATCCTGAACAAGTGATTAAGAAGGAGGCCTCCTTACTGCTTCTGTGGGGGGAGGGGTAGAATGTGTGGTGTGTGTGTGTGTGTGATCCAGGGACTCATAGTCAGAAGTTTCCTTCTCAACCCTCCACTAAGTTGATAGAACTGACTGGTTATGACTTCTAAGCTGAAAGGGAAACACTAAGCAATAGCTGACAGATTCTACATAGCTAACAATTTAAATATTCATCTGTTTGCCCTGAGGTTCTCGTCTGGACTCTTCATGGGTGTGAGGGCTGCAGAATAAAACTCCCAAGCCCTCCATTTCTCCTAGTCATGTATTTGTCAATTGCTAAATCTGACATCTAGTCCAACTAGATCATATCACCCAGTCTCCCTGTTTTACATGAGAAGCAATGAAAGCCCAAAGAAGTCGAGTTGAAGGTCACAAAGCTAGTGAGTGTCAGAGCTGAGACTTCTACTTCATCTCTTAATTCCCATGCATAACTAATGTCATTCCTAACTCCCCTGTCACTGACAGGCTGAATTCAAACAGAATCAGGTCAGCCAATGACACAGTGTTTGATAAATATTTGTGGGCAGGTTGCATTAGACTGAAATCCTTGCATATAATCTTGCACCTGATTCACATTGAGAGTAATACATGAGAAGAAGAATTAGAGAGAATGGAACATTAACAAAGATTTATATGTGCACCATTAAAAATTATTTAGAAATGCATAATGATAAAGAACAATATCTGTTCCTATCTATTTCATAGTGGTATTAAGATAGTCCCTCTGCAGATATTTCAGAGGCCCCCAGACACAGAATCTGTCGAAGACTTTCATTTGTAGGTACACAGCCCAACCAATTTCTCCTTAGTTAATAAAGGGATTGAATAAATATAAGAAAAGCTCATTTCACAATATGCATTTATAATGAGCTCTCCTTATTGGTTCTCTTGTCACAAGGCTACAAATATTCATTTGTTTCATGCTATCATCACTGTCAATGTACTTGTTTTATGGAATCAATTTGTAAACCTATTTACCAGTTTTAATTTTCGTGAGTCATTACAGTTCATATGTGAATTTCCACTGTATTCCCAGCTCAGATGACTTCATAGAGGAAATATTTGTTTTTGTGAAAGCTGTATGCTAATCATTGTTAAAATTTATTGTAATTGGTTTTGGAGCATGAGTCTCAGGGGCAAATTGAAATCTAGATTCCAAAGGAAAATATTTTAAAAGGCTCTCCCATATTTTTATTGTAGTTGTAGCTAAAATTTTGTAAATTTTAAATTATTTAAATACTTTGTATTTAAAGAACTCTAGGGGGATTACTTCTGTTAAATAATGACTCCTAAATAGCTATAGATTCTTTTTCATGCCAGGCTCATTTACAATAACAAATATCTACAGTTATAAAAGAAAGAGATCACTATCCAAAGGGCTTTCATGGTCTAAACTTGCTGCTATAGTTATATTTATGCTAATAGGCCCTTCCTGTGCTGGAGAAAAGTGGTTCCCCCAAAATTCCTGTCTATGGAGATATTGATCATTCTATAATCTCATGTACATTTTAGTCATAGCCATTGGGGAAAGTAAAGATGTGGATGGAGTGACTTCAAAATGATTTTCTTCATGAAGGATGAAAAATATCCTTAATGAATGCATTTTTAGCAAATATGAAATATTTTATTCCCATTGAAAATTTTACAAAATTGTTTATCAGTTACCATTAGCTGAAACTGCCAGACTGTGAATATTGTTAAAAGTCTATGAGATTTCATGAGTTTTAGCCATGTTTGTGGATCTAAATGAATCATAGTGATATCATTCTGAGGGAGTACCCTAGATACTTGAAGTGACTTATTTCAAGCTGCTAAGCAGCATAGCAGACAGAGTGCTAGACTCAGAGTAAGAAAAACTTGAATTAAAATTCTGTCTCAGACACTTACCAGCTATGTGGCCCTGGGGAAGTCACTTAACCTCTTCAAACCTCAATTTTCTCATCAAGAAAATGGGGATATAAATAGAATTTACCTTCCGGGGTTATTGTGAAGATCATATATAAAGTTCTTTGGAAATCTTAAGGAGCTATAAAAATTTTAGATATCCTTATTTAATTTATATCTTATGTCACATGTTTTCAGTCCCTCTCTCACAACTCTGTCTGTTTGCCAAAACTAATTTATATGGCTGATTTATTATAACTTTAAACTATTCCTATATCTTGAAGCAATAAAATATTCATTCTCTTTAGCTGTCTCCTTCCCTGTGTGTCTATTTCTCTCATACACACACACATACACACACACACACACACACACAAATGTTAGTAACCCCCATGAACATACCATAACTAAATGTTATGTTTCCTAGGTATGTAATAAATGTGGGTGGGAAGTAAAAGCTGTCCTAAAGCACCTCCTCAAATATGGACATGAATATCTAGGTCAGTCCAAGGAATAACTCAAACTTTTCAGGGCACAGAAGCACTGGAGTAGGCCAAGGCCACAAACAAAATCAACCACTACAGAATAAAATTGAGGCCCACCTCAATGATTAGTTTTTGTCTAGTCCATAGACTCATCCCTACATTTAGTTAAAAATGATACAGACTTGAGATGTAGATAAATGAACAGTGTCCTGGTACATTTATTGGTTTGCTTATTAATTATAAATAATAACTTAAATTTGCAGTCATGATATTTTTCAAAGGGCTTTCACATACATTGTCTTTTATAATCTCCTCCTAGGCTCATGAGGAAGATGATATAAATATTATTATTTCTCTTTATTGACAATTCCTCCCCATTTACAGATAAGGAGACTAGATCAGAGAAGTTAGGTGGCCTTGCCCAGACTCACACTCTTTTTAAGTGGTGAAAATTGGATTAGGGCCTCCTGACTGCCAGTCTAATATCCTTTTCCACTGTACCTGTTGATGCTCACTATGTAAGAAAAGAGTAGCCATGTGTCCTTTGGGGTTATTTTAAGTGAAACATTGCTCAATGACAATGCAGTGAATGAACTGTTCAGATATTTTCACTTGATTCTTTTCCTATATGCTAATTCTTTAACATTGTTGTCCTAATAGTTACATGCCAACTACTCAGTGTTTAAAGTGATATGCATGTGCCAAAACATAATAGAGTGAAGGGAAGTTATACAATAGAAAATATGAAAAAGCTTTAAAAAGTCCACAGCCTTTTGGATTGAGTTTCTACTCAAACCTGATATTTTTGGATACATTACTTTGCTCTAATGAAAAAAATCAGTGAAGTTTATTTAGCTCAAATGGGCAATGAGAATACGTATAACTCAAAAAAAATGTCTAACCTTGGATGTTATGCCCAAGGAGACCTAGAAAAATTGCTAACCCATGTAGCAGCAACAAACTCAGCTAAATTCAACTCTTGCATTGAAGAAGGAAAGAATATGAGATTTTTGCTTATCCTCACCTTACCCACCCTGCTCAGCTGCTTGGGGAATAAGAAACCGGTTTAGACCTTAGTGTTGTTAAATATTACCTCGAGGAACTGGGGAGGAGTATGTTAATCTATAGAATTTTGATTGCGTTTAAAGTTACAGTTGTATGGAATATTCCCAGTCATTGGTATAATTGGTATTTTAAAAATAACAGGTTTACTGTAAAATTTCCATTTAAATACAAGACAGTTTTATATCTCAAAGGACAGCCTCTCCTGAAAGAGCAAAAAATGATTTAAGGAAGATTTCACATCACATATACATTTTTCAAAATTCTCTGAAGAAGTTATGGAGCATGAATTCTTTCAAAAGCCACTCAATGGTGGTCATTTCGAATGAACTGAGCTATTCTCTTGACAAATTCTTCACTAAATTAACCATCATGGGGAAAAAAAAAGAATATCGCTGTTGCTGTTTGCCAAGACCACAGGGATTCTTGACCTTTTTTTTCCATTAGACTGTGAGATCTTTGACAGCAGAGAGTGTCTTGTGCCTTTCTCTGAATCCCTAACACTTAGAATGGTGCTTAACATGTACTATGTGCTCAAATACTTCTAGACTTGACTTTTCTTTCAAGCATCCTTTTGGCAGTCTGTTGATCCCTAATATTTTTTAAATTTTTAAAATGAAATACATGAGATTATAAAGGTATCCAATTATATTGAAATAAAGATGAACTTTTTTTCTCGTCCTAGTTCACATATCCTCTGAAATCTATCCATGGGCAACTTAGTGGTCTGTGAACCCTGGGTTAAGAACCTCTTTGATAGAGAGAATGATAGAATGATCAATTAGTATGATCAATATTCCATCCACCTAACCCACCTCAGATTGAACATGGCAATTTTTTTAACCTCCAAAGTCTACCATGACATTAACATCTGTTGCTTGCTTAGAAAACTATGATTTTTGTGGATAACTCCCTGCGCCAGTTTCAGCTGCCTGATTCCAGCCCCTAAAGGGTGAAATACTGTTTGTAGGTGCTATACAGTAAATGTGATTTACCATCATTTGCCTTCCGGATTTTAAGTGCACTGTCTGCATGATACCAGCTGTGAAATTGCACAATAAGCCATAATTAAACAAGCAGAGAAAATAAACAGAAGTAGTTAGGTGTGATTTGGAATAGGGAGACCCACAACAAGGTGCCTTTTAAAGCTTTATTAGCCCAAAGCACAAAAAAAAACCGTATATCCAGGTAACCTCTGTTTTCAATGACTCCAAAGGCATGATTTCGAACACACTGCTGAAGACTCAAGACTACTTAACAATAACACTACTAGCATGAATTATGGGTGTCCACTCAACCACAACATGCTATTGGTGTTTTTAGATGCTCTTTTCCAATAGTGAAACTAATTAAAAAGTTAATTTTCATCTCACATGACTTTCAGTGTCAGATACATGTCTCTTCCTATTGAATTGTTTTTCTTAGTTGGTTGATTTCCCCCATAGTCAATTTTCTTTTAGGTAGGTATCCAGAAGCAAACAGAAACACTTTTAAAAGCATAACCCTAAATAACTTCTCTATCTGCACAGCACTCCACTACAACTTATTTATATACTACTGAGACAAAGCATTTTGCCTTTTGAGCATTTCCCCAGGTGCTTCTTTTATTACTCTGGAGTTGAGGTGGATGCTGGTATCAGCTTTGGTTTAGCTGCCTGAGGAAGAGAAATTTCAGGTATCTTTTCACCATGTTTGTACACACTCACAGTGACATCTATTTTTTCTCCACCATATTTGTTCTTAACATTCATGCTATATTTTCCTGAATCCTCAGAGGTCACCCCTTTGATGGATAAGCTGACATACTTCCCTTGTTCCACTTTGACCACAAAGTGTTCATTGATCTCAATGTCCTTGTCATTCTTGAACCAGACAACTTCTGGGTCAGGATTTCCAAATACAGTACAAGTCAAATTCAGAGTCTTTTAAAGAGAATGAGTGAAAAGGAAAGAAGATAGAAAAAGATTAGTCAGGATATCAGTTAAAAACATTTCTGTTTACTAAATTATTTCAATTCAAACTATCCTGATTGGTGAGAACCTACTATAGAGTTGATCACAGACTCCTGAACATGCTTTACCATTTCTTCCCACCCCTGCACATCTAGATTTCTACCTCTTGCTCTGGGAACAGTATACAAATCAATACTAACATTGCCTCTGGAAAGGCCTTAGCAATCAACAGCCCTATGACTCCACATACTATACTTGTGACTTGTAAATTCCCTAAACAAAATACCTATTCCTATCTCCATCATATCTCCATTTTCTCTCTCTCTCTCTCTCTCTCTCTCTCTCTCTCTCTCTCTCTGTCCTCCTCTCTCTTCTCCTCTTCATCCTGCTCCTCCTCCTCCTGTCCCTCCTTCTCCTTCTCTTATTCTTCTTCTTCTTCTTCCCCTCTCTTACTCTTTCCCTTTTTCCCTCTTTCCCTCTCTCTCTTTTGCCGTGGTGTTCCTTTGAATGTCTGCTGAACCCCCTAGAACACCTTAGGTTAAGCTGTCATATATACCTAGGAATGGCAGTCACCAGGCCACAGTTTTTGAAGTACTCTTGTTATACAGTAACAAGGAAGAGAAGGTGGATTGTCTTTGCTATCTAAGTCATTTTCATGTATTCAGAACGGCAAATGAACTCCCTCTGATTGCACAAAAATTATCATTCTTACCTTGCCTTCCATTATAGTTACCACATCAGGCAACCCACCAATCACCTTGCCACGATCTATAAGATTGAAAAAAAGCAATTATCCAAATGTCATGAGCAAAAATGCTTAAGATTCAACACAAATTCATGCATATGTTAAAATATTGATCTTTAATCAGTGCTAACACAGACTAATAATTAGCCATTGCTGTCATTTGAAATGTACTTACTTTTCTCTGCAAATGCAGCTGCCCTAAAAATTCATGGGGAGGAGAAGAGAAGAAAGTTTAAAAAAAAGGTAGTATATTGACAAAGAAAATGAATCTTTTATTTATGGAGTTTGAGGAAAATGTGAAATTATAATTAAAAGAGGTGGAATTAAACCTTTTATGATAATACTTTTCTCAACTCATTGACAAAAATAAATTATCCCTTTCCTGATAACTGCCACATCCTGGATTGGGGACTTGAAAGCTTTGTCTACCTGATACCAAAGCCACCAGGTGGAAAGTAGAAAAACTCAACCAATTGTTTTATTAACAAAATAATAACTTACATTTGGGAAGCAATTTATAGTTAACAAAGTGCTTTATGTGCATTATCTCAGCTGGTCCTCACAGAAACCCTTTGATATGGGTAGGTAATGTAAATCTTAATATCCCCATTTTATGGATAAGAAAACTGGGGCTCACGCAGTTGAAATACCCACAGTTGGCAAGTGGCAGAATTAGGCTTCAGATTAGGTGCTCTGACACCAAAGCCACTATTCCTTCCTCTACCCCACTGAAGATCTTAGCAGAATACAGCTTCAACTGTCCTCTACTCAAGACTGACTAGAGGATCTTGCTTGCTTTGCAGTCATGAAGGCCTCAACAAATTCTCTGATTCCAAAAGATTGCTCACTCAAACATTTTATCTTTCATTATTTGTTTTAAATTTAGAGCCTATATCCTGAGGAACCTCTTAAAATAGAATAACCCCTCCCTCTTCTCACTCCATTCCCTTCCCTGGGGAAACATTTCCCCCTACTAGCCTTTTTTAAAAAATACTAATTTTGAATGTGAATTTCCATAACCCTAAATTCTTAAATGCATTTTTACTTTAATGGGATTTCTCTCCTACTGTATGATAAATCACTGATGTATTTTTCCTTTGCTATCTCCATCCTACAGGCTTTCAAACCCTAGACATTCATAGGTATCAACACAAAAAGTAAATTTGACTGAGGGTGAGTGGGTACCAGGGGTTGGAGGAACTAATCTTGTGCCATATTCATAAACCATGCAAATCTTACTTGAGTTGTTGGAATTCTGCAAATGCTTCATCAAAAGCTGGAAAGAAATATTTCATCTATTAATGAATTGTTTCAATGTTATATTCTCTCTTCAAAGGTACCTAAAATCTTAATTTTCCTTTTTTAGTCAAATAACAAATGAACAAAAGAGTTAAATAAAGTTAATTTTATCTGTGCAAGATCCCAAATTGGTGCTTACATAAATGTCCTGGTGAACTGACAAAGTATTTAAGCATAGATTGCATTTATAAACTGATTTATTTGAGTATATGAGAAGGTTTACAAATTGCTTTAAAATATTATCTCATTTGATCTTTATCCTTACCAGTGTTACGGATATCATTATCTCCATTTTGTGAATAAGGAATTTGTGTATAGCTCAAGAAAATTAAATAATTTTCCTTGTAGTCATACAGGTAGTAAGTCAAAAGCAAGATCTGAACACTGGTCTCTCAACTCCAATTCAAGGCTGCCCCTCATTTGGTCCTAACTAAGCCACTAAATATGCAGTTATAATATGTTGAGTAATTTTAACATCTTACCTTGTCCAGAGAGATCAAGTGTCCTTTGATGGTTATCTTTGCCATCAAATATCTCAAATGTATATTTCCCTTTATCCTTTTCAGTAGGCTCACAGATCTGCATCCAGGCCATCTCTTCACTACCCCCAATTCTCATATGCTCACTGGAAGAAATCTTCGCATCTCTTCAGAAATGAATAGAAATACATCTTCATGTTTCATGCCCATGTTATAGACAACTGTTCTATATGGTGTCATATGCAAAATAGCTTCAGAAGAAAAGCAAGTTCTTCTAAGCTATTACAAATTCAACCAGATAGTTTGCCTCATTGCAGGGTACAGAGAGAAAAGGAGGATTTGACCTCTAATTTCACCAGTGTAGGGAATTCCTACAATAGAAATTCCTTCCATCAATGATGATAAGCAACTTAGGGTCTTAGAGATTTACTTGGCTTAAGTGACTTCCTGAGTGTCACCCAATTACTATATGTCAGAGGCAAAACTTAAATATAGATCTTCCTGGTGCCAAGGAGAGCCCTCTATTCGTTATATCAGGCACGGTTTCATTATCCTTCATAATAATCAACGAATTAGGGATTATTTTTGAATCTTTTTGAAAAGCTTATATAATAATTTAATATATGTTGTGTAATGAGAGTAATACACCATGAATTTATATATATATGTAAATGTACATATAAAAGATATGCATACATATGTACATATACACATCAAAGTGTTGCAGAGCTTACCTTCTGTGAGTTTATATCTAAGTTAGAAAAACCAGCTTAACACATCTGATATTTCTTAAATATAGTTATATTGGCAGATGCAACAAGTTTACTGTCTTTTTTAATTTTTAAAAAATATAATAGAGTTCCCATCCTATGGAGGGAGGTATAATGGCTAGAGAAGAATTTAAAAGAAGTATGTATCCTTCTATTCTTGGTTTGAGAACAAGTTTAGATGATCTTTTAGCCAAAGTTATAATAAAGACATGAAATATTTTTATAAACAGTGTTAATCAGAACTAGTGTGCAAAGTGGTATGGAGTCAGAAAAAATATATATTAAACAATATTAAAATTTGGTATCAAAGATAAGCTTATCATTTATATATAATATTCTCATCGTTAGGATTTGAAATTAACCACAGCCTCATACTTTTTTTTAGTAATTATTGAAATCTGTATTTCATGATACTAGCCCATATTACAACATCTACATGGACATCAAAGTTAAGCTATATCTATTTCACCATTTTGTTAGAAATCATAGCGATGACGTCCCATCTCTATATAGAATGTTGAGGTTTAGCTAGTACTTTAAGATTTACAATGTGTTTCCTTGTGAAAATCAAATCAATAAGGTGTATTGGCTTCCACAGGGTCACACAGGTTGTGAATGTCAATGCTAGATTTTTAACATAAGTTTTTGATTTTAAGTGTAAGGCCCACCAGGCTCATTCATTTATTCAACAACAACAAAAACAACAACAATTTAGGCTCCTATTAAATTGCAAGACATTGTGCTACACTCTGTAATACAAAAGTAGATAGGACACAAACTTTGTTTTTAAGAAATTTATCCTCTAATAGAATAGAATACTCTAGTACCTTCCTTGCTAGAGATGGTGAAGTTACCTCCTCATTAGCTAAGCATCCTCTATTGAAGAATGAAAATGTAATATACTATCACTTGTGATCTCTTTCCTGAAATCTTCTCCTTTTTAGCCTTAAAAAACTGTTTAACTGTATTAGCTGCCATTCACAAGCATTATTGTAGTTTCCCAGTTCTACCAATACACCAGACACATTTCTTTCCAATTTACCATTCATTCATTCAGCAGGCAAGCAAGCAAGCATTTACTAATAATGTGTATATAGATAGATATTAATAGCCTATATAATAGCCCAAGAATGATCAGGCATTAGATACAGTGTGGTATATAATGCTTGGAGAGCTAGAGTCAGGAAGACCTGGGTTCAAATTCCACTTCATACATGAATTAGCTATATGTCTCTAGACAAGACACTTAATCTCTCTGAGTCTGTTCCATCATCTATAAAATGAGTTGTACTCAATGACCTTTAACATCTCTACTACCTTTAATGCTATGAACCTATGAATTCAACAAGCATTCATTAAGCATCCATTATATTAAGAGTTTTGCTAGGCACTCAGTATACAAAAAAATGAAATAGTTTCAACTTTCTACTTCAGGAAAACAACATGTACACAAATAACTAAGTATAAAATATATGCAAAGTAAATACAAAGCAATTTTCTATTTCCAGGGAGTGATGATTGGGGAGGTCAGGAATGACTTCATATAGAAGGTGGGATTCAAGATGAGTTATGACAAGAGCTATGACTCTTACAGGAGACAGCTAGGTGACTCAGTGGATAAAGTACTGGGCCTGGAGTCAGGAAAACCTGATTTCAAATCCAGCCTTAGACACTACAAAGTGTGTGACCCAGGCAAGTCACTTTTTCGCCTTAATACACTGAAGAAGGAAATGGCAAACTACTCCAGTATCTTTGCCAAGAAAATCCAATGGACAGTATTAGCATGCTATAGTCCATAGGGTCCCAAACAGACAAACATGACTGAATGACTGGACAACTGAACAACATGGCTTTTACATGTAGGGGTCACCTGGTGAATGGAGGACATCACAAGGAGATGTTGTGACGTGAGGTGAGTGAATGTTCACTTCATTCTAAAAGCATGTGGGATATCCCTAGGATAACCTATTTGTCTCAGATACAAAGAGAAAATCAGATGTAATAGAACAGTTTTCTATTCATAGTTTTCAGGACTTCCCAGGGATTGAATCTTACAAACAGAATTCAATATGCATCTGCTTTGCCAATTGATCCCAATTTGGCAGAAGATGCTAGGATGTATACAGTTACACATAGAACTCACACAAAATAAATTTATGATTTGGTAAGGAAATGTATGTCTTCTACTTGTTTACACTTGGATATTTAATTGGGCTTAGCAAGAATTTAATCACAATTCAGGACAGAAATGAGTTATTGAAAAGAGTTTAAGTGGTAAACTATCATTTGTTCCCTAAAGGAGAAGTTTTTTTTGTCCCCTGCCCCAGAATAATGCAAGAAGTTTTCTATTTCTAACATTAATGATCATGGGCTTTCTTTGCTTCCACAACTTTGTCCAAACTAATGGTACCAGGGTCAACTGCAATTTCTGGTTCAAAAAGAATGGATGCATACATACAGGTGTGAGTACATATATGTATTCATATACAGATGTCTATGTATACACATAGACATATACATATATAGACATATAGATATAGGTGGCTTGGTTAATTCAGCTTCCAAAGCAGACACAAGTATTTTGATGAGGCGAGGATTTCAGTGTTAGCTGCCCCAAATTCATAAGGGTCTCAGCTCTGCCTATCCGGACTAACTAGATAGTGTGATGGAAATGATGTTCCATTTCCTTCTGTGCAATGCCTGGATATTGCTCTGGGACTTGTAATGTGGTCCCTGCTCTGCTGGAGAAGGAGATGATTTCAATCATGCCTGGGGATTTTCATCTTATTCTACATACTGAGCCAATGACAGTATGAAATACAAGGATTGCCTAAGCCCCCTGTGTTCAAGGTAAGGCTGGTCAGAGGTTCATTTAAAGGAAGAACCAACTACTTTGGGCTGCTTTATTTCATTGCCTCACTCTGAGACATTCTCAGGCTGTAAGATTCTCTTGCTTATCTGACTTATTTTGAATAGATCCCAGGGCCAATCTACATCCCCAAATGCACTCTGCTATTGGCCTCTACAGATTTTTTTCAGTTAATACGGCTGTTCTTTTGTGTGTGTGTCTAATATTCTAGAACTCCCTCAGCGAGGGACAGATAAGGGTTGGGGGAAATGCTTTCAAACTTTAAGCTGACATACTCAAAAGCATAGGGGAAAAGTTAATAGAGCTTCCATTTTATCAGTCACATCTAACATAGCTTTGTTTGAAAGGTGAAACTCATTTGACCCGCAAATTCACCTAACAAATGCTTTTGGAAGAGCTGATAAGTCAATTATTTGAGACACTTGTCTTCAGTTTAACATATATCCTATCTCAACAGGATCTCTTCTACTCACAGAATTAGTAAATTGCAAGTATTGAAAAATTATTTTTCCTGTGCATTTGTGTGGAGAAAATGTTGTTCTGAATGGATATTCATTAATATAGCAAAACATTACTGATTTGAAATAAATGTATATATGAAGTCACTTAATGAGACATAAAATTATAATAAAAATAGCATTTATATTTATATTTATATAATAATAATATTAGCATTCCCACTTATACAGCACGTCAGGTTTTCAAAGCACTTTAGAAAATGCCCATTTGATCTTCATAACACTGGGAGGTAGGTGTTATTATTACTTTTATTTTACAGATGAAGAAACTGAGGCAGACAAAAGTTAAGTAACTTGCTTAGGGTTACATAGCTAGTCTCAAAAGCCAAATATGAAATTAGGTCTACCATGGCACCTAATTGGCCTCAGAGGTTCCAACCAATGAGCTGACTGAAAAAAAAACTGAATTGCATACTATCAAAAGCTCTTTCTGTGGCGAATGCATCTCCAAACTATCTTTTGGCTACCACTACTGGCTGTAATGCAATCTTGGTCAGGTGAAAACAACAGTTAGATACCTTAACTATTCCTAGAAAAGGTTCAGATAATCAAAGTGACTTGCCCAACATCACACAATTTTGAATCCATTCTAATCTCACTATTCCTTCCCACTATACCATACTACATCTAAATAGAACTAATTTCTTTGATTTTTTTTGCCTGTCAGGTTAGAAATATCATCTCTTGAAATCAGGGTGAAATTTACTACACTCAAGTACACAAGTCCAAAACTATATAACTATCCTCAGACATAAGATGGAAATGTCTGGCCCAGCACACACAGAGTAGAAACAAATCTAGGAGTCCTCAGAAACTTACTCCAAGTCAAGTATGATTTAAAAGGGTGTTGTTGTTTTAAGTGGATGTGAGATGTTAACAGGTATGTGATTCTGAAGAGTTTGGAATGGATCCTTTGACTGTTCTCAGAAATAGTCAAGCCTTTGCAAGGCTTGACTTAGGAAGGATATAGAGAAACTGGAGTGAGAACAAAGAGCAGTGACTTCAGGGAA